TTCTGCTTTTTTTTTTTTTTTTAATTTTATTTATTTGAGAGGCAGAGCTACAGACAGAGGGAGAGATGAGAGAGGTCTTCCATCCACTGGTTCACTCCTTAAATGGCCACAATGGCCAAAGCAGGGCCAATCTGAAGCCAGGAGCCTCATCTGGGTCTCCCACATGGGTGCAGGGGCCCAAGGACTTGGGCCATCTTCTACTGCTTTCCCAGGCCATAGCAGAGAGCTGGATTGGAAGAGGAGCAGCCGAGACTAGACCCGGTGCCCATACGGGATGCCAGCACTGCAGGCGGTGGCTTTACCCACTATTCCATAGCGCAGGCTCCAACACTTAGGTTTTTCTAAGCTCATAAAAAGCCAGGTAGGCCAGCACCATGGCTCAATAGGCTAATCCTCTGCCTGCGGCACCGGCACCCTGGGTTCTAGTCCTGGTCGGGGTGCTGGATTCTGTCCCGGTTGCTCCTCTTCCAGGCCAGCTCTCTGCTGTGGCCCGGGAGTGCAGTGGAGGATGGCCCAAGTGCTTGGGCCCTGCACCCCATGGGAGACCAGGATAAGTACCTGGCTCTTGCCAACGTATCAGCGCAGTGAGCTGGCCACGCCACGCTGGCCGCAGCGGCCATTGGGGGGTGAATCAACGGCAAAGGAAGACCTTTCTCTCTGTCTCTCTCTCTCTGCCTGTCAAAAAGAAAAAAAAAAAAAAAAGCCAGGTAGACTGGAAGCTCGCTCTCTCCTCCTTGTGGACTCAGGATGAGCAGAGCAGGGTAGGAAAATTCCCCTTTACCTTCCCCGGCCCACTCTCCCTAAGTAAAGCCCTCTAGTGCCTGTGTATTTTTCTCCATTGTAAATAAAGCTGATCACACTGCACGTCTTGTTTGTGCCTGAACTTAGAATTCTTCTCAAAGTAAATGCAAGAGTCTGGAAAATTAATTTAGGCCCAACCTAGCCCACAACACCACCATGTGCTTGGGAGACACCCTGTGACTTTCAGGCAAGAGGTGGGAAAGGACAGGCCCGGCTGTGGCATGGTAGGCTAAGCTGCTGCCTGCGGCACTGGCATCCCATATGGGCGGAGGTTCTAGTCCCGGCTGCTCCTCTTCCGATCCAGCTCTCTGCTGTGGCCTGGAAAAGCAGTAGAAGATGGCCCAAGTCCTTGGGCCCCTGCACCAAGGTGGGAGACCCGGAAGAAGCTCCTGGCTCCTAGCTTTGGATCAGCCCAGCTCCAGGCATTGTGGCCATTTGGGAAGTGAACCAGGATAGAAGACCTTTCTCTCCGCCTCTCTGCCTCTGCCTCTCTGTAACTCTTTCAACTAAATAAATCAATCTTTAAGGGGAAAAAAAAGAGAGAGAGAGGTGGGGAAGCAGCAGAGCAGGCAGAGAGCCAGGAGGGGCTTCTCTGAGTTCGTCCCAGTTCCTGGCTTGGCTCATTCCCTCTGACCACGGGGCCTTCCCAGGAGGATACACAGGACAACCGTGTACCCTAACCCCAACCATAACCCCAACCTTCTCTAACTTAGAGTGGGCAGCGGTCCCCTGGCCCCTGTCCACAGAGACGGGGGTGGCCCGGCCACACTGGGATCCATGTTTACTCTCCCAGTCACACGCCTCCTTCCACACAAGGGCTGCCTGGCATCCCATGACTTGCTACCCTCCCCTGATGATAGCTGGCTCTGTTAAGTCTTCCCCAAGGCTAGGACACCTGCTCTCCTCTCCTCCCCTGCCTGTCCCCCCCCACACACACACACACACAGTGGAGGAAGAGAGCCCGGCAACCTCAGTCCTGCTCCCATAGATGACGTGGCCTGGGTCTGTATTTGAAATAACGGAAGTCAGTGGAACCGAAGGAAATCTGGGAAATACAGTGCCCCTCCCGTCTGGCCTCGTCCCTGGAGGGGACCAGCTAGAGCGCAAGGCTGCTTCCACCGCCATCACAAGCCCAGCACCACGGCGGCCGGCCGGTGCGCTGGGTTCTGAGCAGGTGCACCGGGAGGAAACGCTTCCAGACGCTTCCCTCGCGGAAGTGAGCCTGAGCAGGGGGCAAGCACAGTGACGCTGCAGGTGAGAGGTTCCCGCACGAGGGTGAGAGCAGCCCTGACTCAGATGCGAGGGAGAAATGTACGTCCGTTTCCTGCAAGCCACTGCCCCAGGCCTGCATAAGTCACAGTCCCAGAGGCGGGAGCTTCAGAAAGTTCAGGAAAATGCACATTATGAAAAAAACCATCCATGGATTTCAAATACATTTTTGCAGTAAAATAAACCTTTTAATTCCATTTCTCCATGCCTCTTGGAGTAGCCTTCATATAGTGGTAACTGACACTGTGTTTGGTGAATGTCGGCTGTTGTCACGTGACTAAAACCAATGTCTTCCCACCAGATGGTAAGCTCCCTGAGAATGGGACCATGCCTGTGTGGTCCAAGCCAGTGCCCCGCACACAGCAGGGACTCGCTGAGTGTGTGTTGAATGACAGCATCAGTCTACTCATGTCCGTCTAGTCCCTGGCCTCAGCAGCAACCTCGGGGCAGCTTTTCCTTAGTGGTCTGGCTTAAAGCTCCTCTCCCCAGGCAGATCCTCCCTGCCACACCCCACACCCTCCAGGGGCCTCCCCCCCCCCAACTCCCGCCCTGCGTTCCATGGATACAGTTGCTCTTTGCCATTTGGCATCCTTCCCTGGTTCAGCCCTGAAAGCTTATGGCTTTGCTTAGCTGGACGGAGAGCTACTTTGGCAGGGGAAACAGACTTTTCTGTCTTTTAATCATTGAGAGCCTTAACTCTGATTTCAGAAAGGCGTGCAGTGGACAATTCACACAGGGCGTTTCCCAAAATTCATGGAAGTTTGTATTACGAAAAACCATGCATGGAGTTCAAGTAAGGTTTGCGCCAAAATAAACACATCTTTTCCGTCCATTTCTTCGTGGACTTCTGGAAGTCCTCTCCTGTTCTCTGAGGAAAGGCAGGGAAGGAGGGAGGAAGGTCTGACGAGGGCCGACCCCAAGGAGGAATGTTGGCTTCCCAGCTGGGAGGGGGACTAAAGGAGTGAGGTGAGGTCAAGAAGGGGGCAGGGTGGGGGGAAGAGCGACAGAGAGGCCCCGCGCCTCGGAACGCTTTCAAAGGCAAGCTGGTGCGTTGGTACAGAGAAAGGACGGATCTGGGGGGCCTGGGTCCAACTTCCGTTAGCTGGGATCTTTGGTGAGTCATTCGCCTCCAAGGATTTCTTATTCTTGCAATTTGAACATCTGGCCACGTCAGTGCTCTTCTGACTGGGCCCCAAGGAGGCCAGTTCCAGGGTCTGGGAAGCTGGGATCCAGCCCGTGGGCTCCTCAGCCAGAGAAATGCTGCTGCCTGCAGCTTCGTGCACTGCCCGCCCACCGACCTCAGCTTGCGTGACAGGCTGGGGCCAAAACAGCTTGAAATCTCCGTGCTCAGTGCCTCCCCTCCCAGCTCTGTCAAGGGCCCTGCCTGCCTGCCTGCCTTTCTTCTTTCAAAGTTTATTTATTTATTTGAGTCAGAGTTACAGGAGGGAAAGATCTTCCACCCACTGCTTCATTCCCCAGATGGCCACACTGGCCAGCGCTGGGCAGGCTGAAGCCAGGAGCTTCCTCCAGGTCTCCCTTGTGGGTGCAGGGGACCCAAGCATTTGGACCAGCCACTGTTGCTCTCCCAGGTGCTCCAGAAGTGGAGTAGCCGGGACTCAAACTGGCGCTCCATATGGGATGCCAGCGTCATAGGTGGTGGCTTAACCCGCTGTGCCACAGAGCCAGCCCCGGGCGTCTGCTTTTCTGATTGAACCAGCTCACTCTCAAAGCTAGGAGCTCTCCTCAAAAAAGAAAAGCTGTGTACGTGGGCCCCTGTCTCACTGCCCCAGCCAGACTACCAGTTCTGAGAAGGGCAACTCTGGGCTTCGGGTTCTTAGCGCCCTGTGACAGGCAGGCAGCTCTGGCCAGAACTAAACTCATAGATGTTCCACAAAGTTCTGTGGCCGGATACTCCAACAGTCAGGGCAGCAAAGAGACCATGAGAAGTGTCTCCTCCACCTCGGGGAGTTTTCGCAGGTGCAGGACCCCCCCACACACACTGGGGTGATGGGGTCCCTGAGCGGCAGGGCAAGTGCGTCCACTCCTACATGTGGTCTTTCACTTCACACCACCACCTTTCTCCTCCTTCCTAGTCACTGGTCTTCCCACCCTCCTTTCCCCACTCCCTGCCCTTCCAGGGGAAGGCCGTGATCTGACCCTGCCCCGCTCCGAGGCCCTGAGCTGGGGTGCTGGGTCTGGAGCCAGCGACACTTCCAGAACATGCAGGGCTGACTCAGGCACCAGGGGCTGTGTGCTCAGAGGAGGAGGCGCCCAAAAGGCCCACATGAAGAAGCAAGGGCCCAAACCAAAGCGCGGGCTCTCCCTACAGCGGGAATTTGGTCAGCCTTGAGAGAGAAAGGAGATTCTGATGCTCCCCACAAGATGGGCAACGCTTGAGGACGCTGTGCTGAGTGCAGTAACACAGACGCTAAAGGGCTCACTTGTCTAGGAGAGCCAAGCGCACAGACACTGACTGTGTCAGTGGCACCCTGACCGCCAGGGGCTGGAGAAGGTGGCGACATCCCAGAGGCTGGCGCACAACCGTGGGGATGTGCTGCAGGCGGCATCGGCTGAGGGTCTGTGTGTTTAAGGACCCCTGGGGGACTTCCTGGATCAGCCCCTGGCAGTGACTTGGGGCAGAGGGAGTCTGGGAACTCCAGTTCCTCCCACGCAGACGCTTCTAGAGCCCTCACTCCTGGGTCTGACCCCAGTATCTCAGAGCCATGGCTGCCGCCGTTGTCTCCCAGACAGACTCACTTCTCGGTGCACACGGGAGGCCTCAGGTGACATCCGCACTCTCTCTCTCTCCCACACACACACACACACACACACACTACAATCTGGACAAACCTCAAAGAACAGCTCAATTCATTAATTAGTTAAAACACACACACACACACAAAAAAAAAAAACACAGCTCAGAGACGGAGCAGAGTCAGGGGCTGGGCCCAGCCTTGGTGGAGCTGTTTATTCACAGGGAGGGCTGCGGGGCTGAGGGCCTCAGGGCCGTGGTGCAGGCATAAGTCCAGGCTCTCGTTCTGGGCCTCTCGCCAACTCACCCTGGCGTGGCTGAGGCTGTCAGCCAGGCACCTGAAAGGAAGCACTGCCTTACCACAGACTCCAGTCCCTGTGTGGCCAGCCTGAGCAAAGGGGCACCCGGGGAAGGGGGGAGGAGGACAAGGGCCCAGGGCCCAGGCCTGGCTCCCCTCTTCCTATGGGATCCGGCACCCTCACCCCCATGGGCTTGGACAGGAGGCCCAGACCTGAGAGGCCCCGGAAGTCAGGGAGCAGGGAGATGGGACTGATCAGGGCCCAGATGGGGTGACAAGGCCAGGGAGGGGAGGAGCAGGAGGCAGGAGACAGGAACCAAGCGCAGAGGGGCTGGGCGGAAGCCCCCTCCCCTCCAAGGGCAGGTGGTGGTGTTCCTGTGCCCCGAGAGGCCCCAGAAGGGACCGGGAGAGAGAGGCTGAACTCACCAGGAGGAATGCGCTTCACCCAGACATGATGTGCTTCACAAACGCTGAGAAAGAAAAGGACAGCCAGCGGCTCAGCCCCTCCCCAGCCCTTAGGCCATGCCCGCTGCCCCATGCATCGGGCCTGCCTGCCACTTGGAATTCTTTCTCTTCCTTGGGGGATTGTAGGAGACGGAAGGAGACAGGAAGAGATCTGACCTCTGCTGTGTCCTCCCTTCCTGCTGATCCTCAACACAGGTCAAAGGAGCTGCAGTGTCCCTACCAGTGCCCACATCCTTGAGAAAGGACCAAGGATCACCCCCACTGCTCAGATGAGAAGACTGAGGCTCAGAGGAGGTGGTGACATGGTCAAGGTCACACCACCAACGTCTCACAGAGCTCTCTCCAAAACCCATCCTACTTCTATCACATGAGGATGTTTACTCCCAGGATGGGGCCCCCCAAAGTCCACCCGATGCCTGCATCCTGCTCCTGGACCAGCCCAGCTCAAGCTGCACCTGCCCTCCCACCCTTGGGTGCCCTGGGGAGCAAGACAAGGCCTGATACCTTCATAGTTGATGCAGCCGTTGGCGTCCTCGTGGCCAGCTAACACCTGCTCCACTTCAGCCTCAGTCATCTTCTCTCCTGGGGTGGGGATCAGGAGGTGGGGCTCTTAATGACAGCTGACAAAGAGGGGCCAGGCAACAGTCGAGTGCCCCTGGGTCTGAAGGACCAAGACACCCTGGACCCACCCAGGCTTTTACCAAACACATGCACAGGCTTTGGAGGGCGACGCCAAGAGTCTTGAGGCCCTGCCTGGTCCCTGAAGCCTCCCCCTCTGCCTGAGAGCCACAGGGCTCCAGCGATTGGGACATAGACAGGACAACACCCCCAAGTCCCACCACTCAGGCCTGGCAGCAACCTCTGCTCTGCCAGCCTGCTCTCCTCCCCTCTCCTCTCCTCTTCCCTCCCCCTCCCCTCTCCCCTTCCCTCCTCTCTCCCTCTCCCCTCCTCTCCCTTTCCCTTCCCTTCCCCTCCCCTCTCCTCTCCCCTCCCCTCCCCTTCCCTCCTCTCTCCCCCTCCCCCTCCTCTCCCCTCCCCTCCCACTCTCCCCTCCTCTCCCTTCCCTTCCCCTCCTCTCCCTTCCCTTCCCCTCCCCCCTCTCCCCTCTCCCCTCCTCTCCCTTCCCTTCCCTTCCCCTCCCCTCCCCTCCCCTCCCCTCTCCTCTCCTCTCCTCTTCTCTCCTGAACCCTGGTACCTGCGGGGAAAATGCAGCTGGGAGGTTGTTCGTACAGAGCCCAGGGAGATGGCACCTGGACCAGGACGTGGACCCGGGATGCAGGGACCCATGGATATAGCCCCCCTACCACCACCACCACCAAAATCCGAGCCCTTGGCCCCTCGCCTCCCCTATGCAGGTTTCGTCCGAGCCGGCTGGCCTACCCAGGGTGGCCAGCACGTGGCGGAGCTCAGCGCCCATGACCGTGCCGTTGCTCTCCTTGTCGAAGACCCGCAGCCCCTCCACGAAGTCCTCGTAGGTGCCCTGCTCCTTGTTGCGGGAGATGTGCTGCAGGATGGGCAGGAACGTCTCGAAGTCCAGCGTCTTGGCATTCATGTCTTCAGGAGAGCGGGGGACAGTCAGAGAAAGCAGTGTGAGCAGGTGCTCGGGAGCAGAGGCCAAGGCCGGCCGGTAGCCAGGGCTTGGCCACAGCTGCTCTGTGACCCTGCAGGCCCCAGAGCTGCCCCTGGAGAGGCCTTGGAGACCTCTCCTCTCGCTCTGTTCTCGGCGAAAGGAGTAGAGTAGGCAGAAAAAGGAATTACAGCTCCCCCTTGGCCGAGGGGCTGAGGGCAGCCGGCGGCAGCAGAGTTTGAGAGACCCAGAGGGCCCCGCAGCCCGAGCCTGACGCACGACTCGGACTTTTGACGTGGGACAGACGCAGTCACGGAAGCAAACTGACAGGGTTGACGAGAGAACTGTTTGCGTGACGGCATTGGATCCACTTCTGGAGCCTGCTGCCTGGAGCGACTCTCAATCATTTTTATCAGTTTGCAGTTCTCTTGCAAATAACACCTTTCTCCCATGCTGCAGTGTGGCACAAGCTTTAGTTAAATAACTGTAGGCCACCTTTAAATACTACCAACATTGGCGTTTCTTTCATAGCCTCCCAGAACCCCTCCAAAACGGAAGTGGCCTAGATTATCTTCTGACTTCCAAGAAGTCCTGCTGGGGCCACCGAAGCCTACCGGTTTCAGGGCAGGTGAGAGAGAGGCATCATCAGAGGGCTAACCTTGAATCTGCTTGAGCCTCTAGTAAATAACTTGCCAAGGTCATTGCCCTCACCACCGTCAGAAACAAATGATCTGTGACACAACTCACGAGGGTCACAGGACACAGCGCTGTGACTGACGCCTCGACCAAGGCCTGCTGGGTTGGGAGTGGGGACGGGCATTGGCTACAGGTTCCCAGGCAGCCAGCTGTGTGCCCAGCACCCTGGTCAGGGCAGCCAGAGGAAGACAATGAAACCACAGGGGTTCACTTCTGGGAGCTCCCAGTCTCAGCAGGGAAACAGCATAGCCCAGACCACACTCTTCTTCTTGAAGTGTTGGGGCTTCTAGATAAATCCCACAACAGAACTGGGCTGACCTGGGGAGGGGAGGCTGGTGCTGAAGGGGGAAGAAAGATTGAGGCTGCTGGGGGGACAAATCGAGGGGCCGGGGGGCTGTGGGGCTAAGGCGGGAGAGGCCATTCCTGCAAGCTGCACTGACCTTCGGGCTTGGGCTTGCCCAGGACACGCAGCACCTCGGTGTTGGTGGGGTTCTGGCCCAGGGCCCGCAGCACGTCCCCGCACTGCCCGTAGGTGATCTTCATCTCGCCAGTCGGGGTCCGGTCAAACAGAGAAAAGGCCTCTTTGAACTCTGCAGAGAGAAGACCCAGCTGCAGCCCCTGGCCCCGAGTGAAGGCAGTCGCTGGGCCGATCAGCCCCCACCCCAGCTCAGCCGCAGGTCACTGTGCTTGTCGAAGCACTGCAGCCATTGGCCCAGGCTCTCCCGGGAACCAGCTTCTGACAAGGGAAGTGGCAGTCTGATGCCCACACAGCCCAGCGCTGGGCTGCCATCTCTCCCATCAGCGGTTGCCACATAATTCAAGTGTTTCACCTTCTTCCACCCTTTCTACCACCCCCCACCCCCAGCCTCCTACTTTAGGTGAGGTTCCTCACTGTGGAAAAGGCCAGAGAAGCCAACAGCACCGGCACAGGAGTGAGGATTCCTGGGGACTCATCTCGGCTCCACCTTGGGAAGCAGGCTTGGGTGGCTGGGTCTGTTTCCTTGTCATATAAAGGGAGTAACAGCTCCGCCCCACCCCTCCCCGGTCCTGGGAGCATCAAAGGAAGTGGCAGTATGTGAGGCAGTTGGGACCGTGACAAGACCTGTTGGAAAGTCGACCATGATCATCGCTGCCTGTTCCAGGCGGAAAGAGGACTCCCAGGCCAGACGAGGTGACACCGTGGCAAGGCAGACCCTAGCTCTGCCATGGGCCTGCCTGCAGCCTCGGACAAACTGCTAAGCTCTGTGGGTTCTCAACTTCCTAACTCTATGCGGGGACACAGCGCCCCCTGGGGTAGGCGGCAGCCGCGTCACCAAGCACGCCAAGTGCGGTGTGCAGCACGTGGTAAGGGAGCTGACTGCCACATTTCCTACATCTGCCACCAGCTCAGGGCTGCAGAGTGGACTCCCCACGCGGACCAGGGCAGGCAGCCAAGGGACAAGGCCAGATTCAGATGCTGCTCGGCCCTGCGCACCAGTTCATCAGTGGGGATCATGTGGACCAGGAGCGGCACCGGAGCTACCTTCTGCTGCCCACAAAGCAGAGCTAAGCAGATTAACCACATAAACCCAAGAAATGTGTGAACCACGTAGGAGAAAAGCTGCTCTCAGCACTTGAGAGAAATTCTTAACACCTGCGAGGCAGCATCAGAATGATTTACAAATCATTCCATGTAGCTCAGTAGATCCAGACCTCAACTCGCAACTCCTTATTAAACGCCACAGGACTTTATACGACATAAAACTTCACACCTTTCACATGACTGAATGACTTCAAATTCCATTTCCACTGCGTATTAGCTATGTGACCTTGGGCAAGTAAATATTTAACCTCTATAAATCTCTTCTCTTCCGTAAGGTCCTCCCTCACAGGGTCTTTCATTTGTATCCAGATTAATGCAGTAATGTGGTTAAGCACATTACGTATGGAATACAATCATGTAAGTAAAAGTCAACATAATTTCTACAGCACACAGTAAATGGTCGAACACTGCCGTGAGTACTCTCTTACTGACTTTAACCCCAGTTCTGTCACTCAACCATGTGACCAGGGCCAAGTCACTGAGCCTCACCAGACCTTGGTTGTATCCTTTGCAAGAAGGAAATAATATCCATCCGACAGTCTTGTTATAAGCATTTAATTTTTAACTTCAAAAATAATTCACACTTTTTAAATCCGCCACAAGTTCAGCGCTCAGTAAACACACGTGTGTTAGCTGAATCTGAATTTAGACCTTTCAGTCTTCCACTCTGTTCAGAAAAGCGAGATCAGATGACTGGTAAAGGTGTCTCCTCGAAGTGATGCTCAACAGGAGGCTGGGACGGGAGGAGATGGAAGGAAGCCTGCCCCGGGCTCGGAGGAGGCAACTGCACCCCATCGCCTAGCTGCCTCACCTCATAAAATCCTCATAAATAAACCAACGCAGATGTCACTTCTGACCAACTATTAAGAAAACCAACAAAATTCCGGGGAGGGGGGAGGTTGGGAGAAGAAGTTTGCTTGTTGCATCGACTCATGTGCCAATCTGTTTCTCAGCCTGCTGGGAAGTGTGGGATGCACCTGAAAACTGAACATTTGGGCTAAGTGTTTGGCCCGGCAGCTAAATCACCTCTTAGGACACCCGTACCCCATAGAAGAGTGCCTGGTTTGAGTCCTAGCTACTCAGCTTCCAGTTAATGCATACCCTGGAGGGAAGCAAGTGATGGCTCAAGTACTTGGATCCCTGTAACCCATGTGGAAGATCTGGCTTGAGTTTTGGGCTCCTGGCTTTGGCCTGGCCCAGCCCTGGCTGTTACAAGCATTGGGGAGTGAACCAATGGATTAAAGACCTCTCTGTGTCTGTTCCTCTCATTTTTTTCTTTTTGTCACTCTTGCACTCTCACTCGCTCGCACTCTCTCTCTCTGCTTTTCAAATAAAACAAAAATAAATTTAAAATTTTTTAAATATGAAAGAAAAGGAGCGTTGAAGTTTAGGACTAGTTAGCCCCAGGTGATCTGGAGGTGTCAGAGGTGGTGTTCCTGAGCCCAAGGAAACTTGTTCTCAATTCTCTGCCCACACGAGCAGCGAGTCCCAGGATGTGACCCCCTTTGAGAAGCATATGAAAATCTGGACAGGAACCAGAGCAGGAAATCAGGGTTAAAAGCTAGTTCCTGGGGGCCCGCGCTGTAGCGCAGCAGGTTAACGCCCTGGCCTGGCATCCCATATGGGCGCCGATTCGAGACCCAGCTGCTCCACTTCCAATCCAGCTCTCTGCTATGGCCTGGGATAGCAGTAGAAGATGGCCCAAGTCCTTGGGCCCCTGCACCCACATAGGAGACCCGGAGGAAGCTCCTGGCTCCTGGCTTCGGATCAGTGCAGCTCCGGCCATTGCAGCCATCTGGGGAGTGAACCAGCAGAAGGAAGACCTGTCTCTCTCTCTCTCTCTGCCTCTCCTTCTTTCTGTGTAACTCCGACTTTCAAATAAACATTAAAAAAAAAAAAAACTAGTTCCTGGGACCAGTGCTGTGGTGTAATGGGTAAAACTGTCACCTGCAGTGTTGCCATCCCACATGGGAGCCAGTTCGAGACCTGGCTGCTCCACTTCCCATCCAGCTCTCTGCTATGGCCTGAGAAAGCAGTAGAAGATGGCCCAAGTCCTTGGGCCTCTGCACCCAAGTGGGAGACCCAGAAGAAGCTCCTGGCTCCTGGCTTCAGATCGGCGCAGCTCCAGCCGTTGTAGCCAACTGGAGAGTGAACCAGCAGATGGAAGATCTCTCTTTCTCTGCTCTCCTTCTCTCCCTGTGTGTGTAACTCTTAACTTTCAAATAATAAATATAATAAATCCTTAAATTAGATAGAAGCTAGTTACGTTTGAGGGGGGTCGAAGAACATACAGAAGCCTGGGGCCACATCACCCAGAGGCTAGAAAGCTAAGCAGAGACTAGGCAACCATCTCCAGACAGCTTGAAGTGTCCCGAGGGTGCTGGGTAGAACTCAAAATGTCTGAACTAAAAAGAACCTCATTTTGCAGATAAGAAAAGTGAGATTTAAAGAAGTGACTTGCCCAAAGTTATACAGGTGGATTTAGGGCAAATATATTTAGGCCAAATAACATATCTCAAATAACGTTCTTTCCACCACAACTCGAAAAACCATCATCAGCTTCACCAAAGAGCAGAGGAAGGAACAGCAGGGGTACAATTAAAGAAGAAGCAAGTCTAATCCACCATAAGGAAAAATGTCTTCAAGGTCAGAGGGATGAGGGCTTCGCAACTCCCAAAAATCTTCAGGAAGATAAGCGGCCGCCAGCTGTGCCAACTGGCTTTGACTAGGATTCTCATTTAGGAAATAAAAAATTTTAACCAAAAAAAAGTTTTTTTTAATCATTACTTGCTTTTCCAGTCCTCACTGGTACCATTATGTTTGCATATTTACATAAGTATATATTTAACTAAATGCATTAAAATTAAGAATTTCATAGCACTCCTAAAATGATCAACTGAAATTAAATAACCACAGAGCATTATAAAACAGCTATATTCAATTCACTAGGTTCAAACTGCATGTGCCAGTTTTCATGCTCTATTTGCAAGTAAACTGGTATAACATTTTTGGAGGGTAACTTGGCAATAGCTATTATCATTATTATTATTATCATCATTATTACTGTTAAGACAGAGACAGAACTCCTGCTGGTTCACTCCCCAAATGCCAACATTCTCCAAGTGCCAAAGCTGGGGAGCCAAGAGCTCAATTCAAGTCTCCCATGTAGGTGGCAAGGAGCCAACTACTTAAACCATCGCCACTGCCCACCAGGATCCACACCAGCAGGAGACCAGATTCCTGAACCAGAAAAGGGTCTCAAACTCGGGTACTCCAGCATGGGATGCTGGTGTCTTAACTATTAGACTAAATGCCTGATCCTTTTCCCCCCATTTTGTTTATTTTTATTTTTTAAAGATTTATTTATTTATTTGAAAGTTGGAGGGAAAGACACAGAGATCTTCCACTAGCTGGTTCACTACCCAGATGGCCAGCATTGGGCTGATCCAAAGCCAGGATCCAGGAGCTTCTTTCGGTCTCCCATGTGGGTGCAGGGGCCCAAGGACTTGGGTCATCTTCTACTGCTTTCCCAGGCCATAGCAGAGAGCTGGATCAGAAGTGGAGCAGCTGGACAAGGACCAGCACCCCCATGGGATGCAGATGTTGCAGGCGGTGGTTGTGCCCACTACACCACAACGCTGGCCCCAGTATTACAATTTAAAATTCACATATCGGGCAGCACTGTGGCGCAGTGGGTTAAAGCCCTGGTCTGAAGTGCCAGCATCCCATATGGGCCCTGGTTCTAGTTCCGGCTGCTCCTCTTCCGATCCAGCTCCCTGCTCTGGCCTGGGAAAGCAGTAGAAGGTGGCCCAAGTCCTTGGGCCCCTGCATCCATGTGGGAGACCTGGAAGAAGCTCCTGGCTTTGGATCAGTGCAGCTCCGGCTGTTGCGGCCATCTGGGGAGTGAACCAGCAGATAGAAGACCTTTCTCTCTGTCTCTACCTCTCTCTGTAACTCTGTCTTTCAAATAAATAAAATAAATCTTTTTAAAAAAAATTCACATATCCTTGGACCCACTGCTAGGAAGGGCACCTGGGGAAAGCATGTTGACATCCTTCAACAGGAAACAACTGAAGGTCCACCAATAGAGTCTTGATTAAATAAAAACGCTCCAACCATGTGGGAGGATCTATATGATTGTTTAAAAGAATAAGGTGGAACTCTTTGTGTTAATTATGAAAATATATACAGATACGATTACTAAATGTTATGTATTACCAAGTCCAAATACATATATTTAATAAAAAGTACAAAACAGTATTATCACATGGCTTGATTTGTGTGAGCTTCATACATATGGTGTATGTATAAACTCCTTGATGTCCCTATACATGGGTCCATGAAGACTTGTTAGCAATGGCTGTCCTTGGACGATGGATCAGCCTGATAATAGCACTTCTACATTTCACTGTTCACTTTTAAGGATTTTACGTTTGGCTGTTTTGTTTGTTAAGTCACGTGCACTCACCCGTTTCACTTTAGAAACAGTGTGCATGCTTAGAATGAAGGCATTGAACCAAGTGCTCTTTCAAGGTCCCTCCCAAGCTCTGAGATTATATATTCAGGTGGCATTTGCAGGACAGAGGGATGCGCTGCAATGACCATGACTCCTGCTTTACACCTGGGGACACGTAGCTATCACATGATGAAATGTTCCATGCCCAAATGCCAGACGCCTACCAAAGAGTAGCTGAAGGGCAGCATTAGGGGAGAGTGGGAGATCTCAAGGCGTGTCCTGAAGTTGCACTTAACAGTACACCACACACATCTGAGAGATCCTCAGTCGTCCCATCGCAGATGGAGAAGAGCTGCTGATGGCCATCACGGGCAGACCAGGGCAGCCACTGGTCCCTGCTGCTGGCCCTGCCTACTGGGTGAGCACCTAGGCAGACCTCACGACCGGGACGGGAAAGCCGGAACCCCAAGGCAGGCCTTCCAGAAATAGGGGCTTCCAAATACCCTGGGGAGACTTTCAGGCTGAAGGGAAGAAAGGGCACTCAGATTTGCGGAGCCTCTGTTACGTCAGCAGCCTGGCACAGTGGTGGAGAACACAGATCTGGAGTCCCGTTGTCTGAGTCTGTGTCCTGGCTCCACCACCGACTGCTGTGTGAGCCTGGGCAGCTGGCCCCATCTCAGCGTGTCTGTTTAGTCACCTATCAGATGGAAGTGGTAATAGTTGCTCGTAAATTAAACAAGCTAATTTATGTGAAGTGTTTAGGACGACGCCCAACACACAGTAAGAACTCCGTGTGGGTTTGCTGTAATGAGGATGGGAATGATTATTCCTACGTGGAGAACACCTGCTTCTCGCCCTCTTCCTCCTCCTTCTCTGGGAAGTACTCCAAGGGGCAGCAGTGTTAGCCATACTCACCCTCGATCTGGTCGGCGGTGAAGTCTATCTGTGGGGAGAGAAGAGACGGGTGAGGGGGACACTGCTGAAGGCCTTCCGTGGGAAGCCAAACCTCCAGCGGGCCACTGATGAGGGTGGAAGGAGTCCCTGAGGAACAGATCCCAGCTGACAGCTATACAGCAATGCCCCTGCCCCAGCTCTCTCACACCACTCGTTCGTTAATGGATGGCTCTGGGTAAGATGAAGAGAGAGAACTATTCTAGGTAACTTGAGGACCTACATTGAAGCCCTATTGAAACTCGAAGGGTCAGAGATAAAGCTCTCATCTTGCCAGCCAAAATCACCCTCACCCTGCAGCCTGTCCCCAGGCCACATTCCTCTCCCACACAGGCTATATTTCCCCGCGCTTTGGGCGCCCAACACTCCCCACCCGTGGACTCTCTTCTTCCACTTGATGCTGACTTTAGGTCCACTTCTCTCACTGAAGCCTTCTCTCATCCCATTCCACCTTGGCCCCTCCTCAGCCCATGTCCCTCTTAGGCACTCTGGGACAGCCGGGGTAATCTGCCTGGCCTGCCACACTTCAGATTCCTTTTCTAGTCCTGCCACGGTGTGCGCTTGGTCTCCTGGAAACCAGGGTCCCCAGCGGGCAGAGATTTTTGTCACTGAAATGCTTGTCATGTAAAAGGCACTCAACAAGTAAGTGTTGAATGAAGGCATAGATTTTGGATTTCTTCCATAATACAAAATAATTCAACACTGAGTACACAAAAGGGAAGAGGCAGGCTCTGAAGATGATGCTGATGACCAAGCATGAGCCAGCACTTTAATTTGGGATCCTGCGCTCCTCTGTTCCCTCATTGTCCTGATTCACCCCACCCATGGCATCCCCTGTCCGCTGGCTGCTGCTTGGACCACACGCGTCCCGTCTCCTCTCCAAGCTGCCCTCTGCTAGGGAGGGACCCTGGGGTTGCAGGTGTGGTCAGACTGGGAAGGAAACTAACTGTGCCCAGGAAGGGATGCTTTTGCCAAAGGTGGTCAGGAGCTAAGACGTATAATAATAAGGAAAACGGCTCTCACAAAAGATACCACTTCCATCTGGCAGATGCAGACATGGAAGAGGAGATTACCACTGGGGCGAGAAACTAGAGGTGGGTGGACAGAGAAGTGTTACGGGTCAAGACGGGAGCGCCTGTCCCACATCAGGAGCCCGTAACTGGGTCGATGCCAGGGGCCAGGCGTGGCAGCATGCTACAGGCATGTATGGTCCTCCAGCAGAACAGGGCAGACAGAAGGGCGGCAAGGGAACTGGAGGCAAACAGAGCAGCTTTGTGCGCCAGGCTCCGCCCAGAGAGCGAGAGATGAATGTTCTAGAAAGTCTTCAGGCACTTTCACAGACTTACCATAGCCTCAGTTTCCCCAGAGTGAGCCATACCCAACCTCAGGAATGAGGCAGCTGACTCCATCTCCTGGCCAGGCCAGTTCTGCTTAACTCCTGCCCTTGGTGGGGACTGCCAGGGCTCAGCCCCAAGTCCCTAGCACAGTAAACGTGAGGCATCCCTGCTAGGGGTGTGGGCGCGAATCCTGAGAGGGCCAGGGAGGGCCACACAGAGCTCTGGGCTTGAGTTTCTCTGCCTGCACCACACACGCCCTTATTCTGACCAGATTCCTCACCACCCCCAGCCCACGCTTGAGTTCAGCTCCCGCGGGGCCCACCACTCCCAGCCCGTTATTAATAGTAAACACCTGGCCACTTCCATTCTGGTGCCAGCACTTAAAACTGCTTCTCTGCAGGGGCCTCGGACCCCTTCCTCTGCGGCCCACGCCCTCCCGTTCCATTCCTTCAGCAGCTGGGCCTGACAGCGGGCAGCGCCCAGAGCAGATCCAGGGGGAGGAATGCTCTGGTGGAAGGGGAGCCAGGCGGGACAGAGGATGGAGCTCAGGAGGCAAAAGAGACCAGGCTAGAGGAAGCTCTCAGCCTGGGCTGGGCCAGGCCAGTCCTCTGCATCCTTCAGAGATCACGGGAGGGACCCACCTGTGCAGGGAGGAGGAGAAGAGGGACCCGGGTGCCCCCTCACCTTGCCTATGCCTCCCTTCCTAGCCGCCCGCTCCCACTGTGAGAGCGCTGGTAAACAGAGACCTTGCCAGGCCCCTGCACCTGGGGAACCTGCACCCTGCCCGTTGGCAGCCATCAGGGAGCGTCTGCACACTCCTCCAAGACAAAGCGCAGCCTCCTTTCTCTGCTACCACAGCCTCCACCTTCCAAAAGGGTGAGGCCTTGGTTAATTTAATCTCCCACCATTTGCAGCTCTGCTAGGCAAACCTGGATGGCAGAGCAGGGCCTCCCAAACAGGGCACCGAGCTACTATTGAGGGAAAAGGCCCATGCCCCGAGCTACCCCTCATCAGCCCCAGTACCTGCTCGGTTGCCTGGGACAGGGATCCAGGGCGTGGATGCCAGGGTCTTCATCCCCAGCCCCAGGCACTCAAACTCCCGCCCTCCAGGGCAAACAGGATGCTCAGCCTCACCCCCACCACCATCCCTGGAGCCGAGCCTCACTCACCTTTACACTCTTGGGGTCAAAGGCAAGATCTCTGGGGGGCTCAGGAGCTGAGGCAGGGGCTGCAGCAGGAGCTGTCGCTGGGGCTGACTTGGCTGCCTCCTTCTTGGGCTCAGGCTTCTTGGGAGGCATGCTGTCGCAGGATCACTGGTGGAGATGGGACCTGGGAAAGAAGCCCGCGACGCGGCGCCTGGCGGATGAGATGGGAGACAGGGCCGCCTCCCTCCCCTTTTATCCTGCTCAGGAGCCCCCACAGAGGGGCTGGGTGCAAGCAAGACAACTGCTGCTGACTATAAAAGGAAGAAACACCAGCAGGGCACAGCTGACAACTGTGCATTGTCACCAGGTTGGGGGCTACACCCCCCTTCCCTCCTCATTCCTCCCGGCCTCCACCTCTGGGACAGGCTGACGCCCTCCCGCCAATCGGCAGACACCCACAGGGGCCAAACAGACCCTCTCAAAACTGCCAGTGCAGCCAGAGAGATGAGCTGACCCGAGCAGCTGATAACCCTCACGCAGAGCCCAGCAGAGGCTGAGGCTTTTTTTAGACCCTCCTGAGCAGAGGCAGCCCACTGCACATTCCTTTCAAGCCAAGAGCCTTTAAGCTGAGAGCCACTTTGGGCACCGCGCTCTGCCCGGAGGCTCAACTCCCAGGCATGGGGCCCTGAGGCGGCAGCTGGTCCAGCAGCCCACACGGTCCTACACCCTCCCCACCCTCAGGGCCAAGGCTTCCATATGCCAGAGCAGGCATCCCAGGAACTCCACAGATCTCAGGTGCCTAGATCTTCCACCCCACCCCCAACAGTCATTCATGCAATGAATACTATGCACTTAGCATGTGCCTAGGGGAACCTGAATGAGAAGCAGAGAGGTGTGGCAGAAACTGAGGACTGGTTTTTACTAGATAACTAATTCATTTTGTACCCTGGAGAGTGTGAGAGCATGTGTGTGGTGCCTACTGGGCACTATTAAGCACTATTCATATCGAATCTCATTAAATCTGCACCACAATTCTAGAAGGCAGATCTCTATTTTTTTTGTTTTGTTTTGTTTTTATTTGACACAGAGAAACAGAGAGAAAGGTCTTCCTTCCATTGGTTCACTCCCCTAATGGCCAGGGCTGCGCCGAAACGAAGCCAGGTGCAGGGCCCAAGCACTTGGGCACCCTCCACTGCCCTCCTGGGCTACAGCAGACAGCTGGACTGGAAGAGGAGCAACCGGGAGAGAATCCGGCGCCCCGACCAGGATTAGAACTCGGGGTGCTGGCGCCGTAGGCGGAAGATTAGCCAAGTGAGCCACGGCGCCGGCCAGCAGATCGCTATTATTACTGCCATTTTACCCAGGCAGAAATGGAGGCGAGAAGTGACGGAACAGCCTGACAAAACCACTCAAATAATTAGCCATGAGCTGGAACCCAAGTGTGCCTCCTTCTAAAGTTTCTACGTGAGTCATTTACATCGTGGTCCTGTTTACGGGGGCAGAAAAGCACACCTGTGTGTGTTCACAGCAAGGTCAAGGTGGAGGCGCAGCAAACCGTCACCCAGAGGCAGACAGCCCTGGGGGCCTCGGGCAGGGGCAGCAGTTTGGCACTTGGCAGTCTATTCACATTTTTCACTTCCTGTATTAGTGGAAATTTTTATAACAAGCATGTACTGTTTTAGTTGGCCAGTGCCGCGGCTCAATAGGCTGATCCTCCGCCTTGTGGCACCAGCACCCCGGGTTCTAGTCCCAGTCGTGGCGCTGGGTTCTGTCCCGGTTGCCCCTCTTCCAGGCCAGCTCTCTGCTGTGGCCCGGGAGTGCAGTGGAGGATGGCCCAAGTGCTTGGGCCCTGCACCCCATGGGAGACCAGGAGGAAGCACCTGGCTCCTGGCTTTGGATCAGCGCGGTGCGCCGGCTGCAGCGCACCGGCCGCGGTGGCCATTGGAGGGTGAACCAACGGCAAAGGAAGACCTTTCTCTCTGTCTCTCTCTCTCACTGTCCACTCTACCTGTCAGAAAACAACAACAACAACTTTAAAGCTCAGTAAGATACTGAGAAAAACAAGAGAAGCTCACTCGGCCCCCACAACTGCTTTGGGTTCCAGTGTCCGGAGGAAAAGAGGAATAAAGCCAAGAGAAGCGGAAGAGCTGCTTAGCAGGCATGGGGCCAGTTTCTTCCACTGTGAGACAAGACCACGAGACTGCCCAGACCCCCATACCCCACAATCCTCAGTACCCAGGAACCCACATCTGCCCTGGACACGGGCTTCGTGTCCGATCGTTACTTCCAGAGCCAGCGGCACCTTAGGGACCACCTCTTCCCGTCCCTCTTTACAGGTCAGGCATCTAAGGCCCAGGGCGACTGCGGTGCTGCCTCAGGGTTCCATCCAGGCGGAGCTCAGCGGGCCCATTCTGACTGCCAGCATGCACACTGCCCTCCTATGGCCTGGACACCTGCTCAGCGCTGGTGGGCAGAGATGTCTCCCAAGGAGACTGAGGCCAGGAGAAGCCCCAGGGAATCCTAGAGCACGACCAGTGCCAGGCCCGCGGCGGGCTGTGGTCCCTTCTTCTCCTGCCTCACCTGCTCACTCCTCACCCAGCCACCCTGACCCCTTGTCGCCTGCTCCTTCGCACCAGGCAGCACTGCTTGCGCCCTTCTGTATTCCCTGCCAGTCCCCTCCCTGACCTGCCCCGTGGGGGTTAGGAGCTCAGGTTGTTGGTGATGAGACAGAAGAAGCGGCAGCCCCGCCCTTCCTCCCCGTCTGCCCGCAACTGCATCCCTTCCTGGAGCAGGGCTGCGGCCGGCTTTGGACGGAGACACAAACTGCGGTTCCTGTAGAAGCTGCGTGCGGGAAGCAGGAAGGCCCAGGCACCAGCCCTGCCCTGCAGCCCTTCCCCTCGCTGTCTCAGAAGAGAAAGATGCTCCAAAGGGCGCCCCACAGAACCCTGAGGAGCCACCTGCAGACTCGGCTGTGAGGGCTAGAGAGGCGCACCCTGCTCCTCCCCCAGCTCAGCTCCACTTCAGGAGCCACTTCTGTGGGTTTCACCCACTGGGGTGCCCACGACCATTGTCTGAAAGATGCTTCCACGGTTTTAAAAATTTTAAATAACCACTGAAGGAAATGCCCTCGTGATGTCCCCTTCCAGTTGCAAAACAAGTCATTCTAGAAAGAAGTAGGATCCTCAAAGACAAAGAGCTAGGAAATGGTTCTTTGCTTTCTTTTCTCTGCTTCCTTTTCCTTTGCGGGGAGAAAAGACCATTCTAGGAAGTGAAGTGTCCAATCTGCATGGGAACAGAGGCGGGGGCTGGAGAGCTGAATGGAAGGGCATGAAAACCGCGAGAGTGGACTGTGGAGGCAGTGATGGTCGACGGTCTGACGGTGCCACCTCCTCATCTAGGGCTGCTGCGCGTCCCCAGGACCTGTGACTGCGACCTTGCGTTCTCAGGTTGTCCTGAGATCTGCACTGGAAGAAAGTTCGGGAGGCAGAGCAAACAACCTGTGGCTCCTGGGAGAGGTTCCCAGAGCTGCTTCCACTGGGTGCTCCCAGACACACGGAGAGCAGGTGTGCAGCTCCCGGGGGTGGGGGGGGGAGTGGGGGTCCATGTGGGGAGGGGCCAGGTGAGGAGGCAGCAGCTGAGGGGATCATAAGTGTCTAGGAATAAGGACAAGGTGGGACGGATGCAGGAGGGGCAGGGCAGCAGCTGGGAACCCAGGGTGTGGAAAGCACGTGGCAGGGCCACTGCCCATCACCGAACACTCAGAGAAGGAGCTGCAGCCTTGAAGTCAGGCCACAGGCGCCCCAGCCGGCGAGGAGCCGCTTCTCATATCAGCTCCTGATTCCTCCAGCAGCCGCGGAGCAGCCACCGGGAGAGAGCTGCGGTCCCTGGGAAAAAGAACCAACACGCCAGGCGCTGGTCTTGCTTCCACTCGGACCCGGGGGGGCCCGGCAAATGGAGTCAGGGGCTTCACTTCGCAGGGTGCTCGTTCTGCTTCAGGCCTGCGACTTTGTCTTCGTCTTACTCATCTGGAGTGTTCTCCACAGGGCCCGTAACGGGAAGTGCTGACCGATCAGAGAGAGGCGGAAGTGAGAAGAGACAAGGACAGCAGTGGGTACCGGCAGCAGAGCAGCCGTCTCCGGGAGCATCTGGGGTCCCCACACCAGCGCGGCCCACCTGAATGCTGCCACCGGAAGGACCTCAAATTCAGGGACTGAAAACCCAGGGCAGAATCCCATGCCCACCAGTTCATTACATCAGACGTCAAATTCAGAGACCAAGGCACAGGGCAGAACTGACCTCAGTCCTCACTGGGGTGGGCTCCCCCGCATCCCCTCACCACAGCCTTGCCTGAGCGAGATCTGCTGGAGTCTCTCGACAGCAGACCTGGCTGTTGAAGCCTCGTCCTTGTCACCCTCCCTCCTTGCTTCTGGTCAGTGTCTCACAAGCCTGGACATCATAGGGCAATGCCTTGGCCAAGACTACATCAATCATTCCCCCAGGGGACACTGGGTAATTTGGGTTTACTGCAAAGCAGAACTGAGAGGCCCCACTCAGGAGCCAGACTGTCTGGGTTCAAGTCCCGTCTCAACTAATTCTGTGGTCCAGCTAGTTAACTTTTTTATGCCTTAGTTTTCTCATCTGTAAAATGGAACTACAGAATAATTCTGTAGGGTAGTTGGGAGAATTAAATGAGCTAATACAGGTGCGTGCTTGGAACAGTGTCTATCATGAGCAAGTGTTGAATACCCTGAAGTCTGGATCCTGACGGAACTAGTGTGCCTGCTGCATCCTCTCCCCAGATCAGCCACGGAAGAATTACAAAGAGAAAGCACCAGGAAGTGAAGGAAACTGAGAGGAAGCCCTTGGGTGGAGGGAGGCCCTGTTTTGAACGGGGTGCGTGTGGTCGGGTGGCTCTGGTGAGGGCGGGAAGGAACCAGGCTCAGCTGTGGAGTCAAACAAGGGATCAGGGCACTGACCTCCCATTTCCTTCACTGCGGTCTTGGTAAAAGCAGCGCCACCCTCTCTCCTGCCGAGACTCAAACCTGTGGTGCGGGTGTCGGTAAGGGCGACGTCAGGGCACTGAAGACGCACTACACTTATGAGGGGCTGGCAAAACCCATCTGGGACAGATGTGTCCCCCCCGAGTCCCTCTAAACTCTCAGGACAGGTGAATCACCACCTGAG